GCATAGAACTCTGAAGGAGATGCAGGATTTTCTGTGCTTTCGCTGCGAGAGGAAACTGATTTATTCTGCATGTATACAGGCTAATGGCTGCAGGTCTTTTCTTGGACAGAAAACAACCAAGCATCACTAAAATGTCTTTTCAGTGGGGCCAAGCATAAACCCCAACCCAACAAAAACTAAGCAAATACATCCTTTTAAATGCCTAAGCCAGATTTCAGAGCAAAATTTAACAAAATATTTGAGCTTAATCGATCGTGACAGTGGACAAGAGATGCCTTCGCAAACTACTAAAAGATTCCATATCATAAAGATCAGGATTTAGCTCGATTTGACAGTTATCCTCCATCTGGATGTAGGGGTGGGTATTGGCAAAGAAGACATGATTCGATTCGAATCATGATTCACATGCCACGATGCGATTCTATCACGATGCATCATGATACTTGAAATATTGCGATGCATTGCGACATTTTCACTGAACACTGTAAGAAAAAGATACAGCCATTACCAGTGGCTGACTGGGTGTGTGTGATCTGGATAGTGTCTTCAATTGATACATAACTGAAAGCAACTGAATTCATACATAGCTGTATTTATTGAAACGACTTTTGGAGGCGTTGCCATGAAAACAAATACTGGACAGAAATATTACTATTACACACTGACAAAAAGATCTTGGGATTCATCAAACTTAAAATAACAAAATAAGGATAATCAGTGCCGTTTACATGGCCTCAGTGGTCCTTTTGCAAATTACGTGCATCATATCAATTTAATTTTTACCTTCTTTGTTTTTAAAGCCAAAATGCATCCAAGTGGGGTGAATTTTCTCAGTCTCCTCCATATTTTGTTTACGAATAACTCGTCACAGTATCCCGCGCCCGAAAATGCTTGTGACACAAGGCAGCGGGCGTCAACACATCCGCAGCGACATGTGCTGGACTGGAAGTTGTATTGCACTTGGTTTGGCTGATGTGCGCCAACCATTAATGTATTTTATTTGTTCTTTTTTTTATATAATCGATTCTTGCCTTCAAGAATCGATGCAGTATGTCACAAAAATTAGAATCGCGATGCATCGTCATGACGATTTGCACACCCTTATCTGGATGTTATATTTGATTTGAAATTGAAATAATAGTTTTTAATTAATGTATGGATAATTAATGTATGGAATTGGAATGTTCAGATCCACCAGAGCAGTTTCCTTCCTATTTTACTTTGATAAAACTGGAGATAATATTTTTAGTCAGAGGAGTTTACATTTGTAATAGTAGGTGTTGCATCTACCTTTGGACTAAAATGGCTTCTTGCAAGTTGACACAATAATGCACAGACACATGTAGAAGTTATGGGAGTGATTTAATTCAGGATGCAGGTTCAGTGCATTATGCTTCCCGAGGAGACAGCACAGAAATGGAGAGATCAAACAAACCAGCAAATAGAAAAGCAACTGAAGCAAAAGCTTTGTGGTACAAATCACAACAATCAGTGTCATCATCTGTGAAAAACCCCTGGACTATTACAGTGAAAAAAACGCAATCCCTTATGTTCCCATTGGCATGTTAAGGAACATTGGTAAAATGATGACAAGTTACTATGAAAACTAACAGGAATATGAGCAAAATATGTACAATAGATGGTTTAAGGTGTAAATAAGTGGATGTAATGTGCCGTATTAAATACAAGATCAAATGAGGAGAGGTGGGGGACAACAGCGGTGGTGTTGGTGTTCTGCAAAGTCCTTCATATTAAGGGTTTGTTTAAAATGTTTTGGCTCCTGTCCCAGACTTCTTTATGCTGTTAGTGCAATCAATCCCACAAAAAGTCATTAGGAAGAGTCCAACGCAAACAATAACCGGTGTTCACACACACAGCAAAAAAAAAAGGGCCATGTGTATCAAAAATATCCATATTCATAATCATTATTGTATACAGCTGTAAGTGTCTTTTGGTGACAACAGAATTACTTCCAGTTAACAAGAAGAAGTAGGAGATATTCCTGATGGTAAAACACAGTCATATTGAAAACTGATCGATGTAAAATAGCAACGATACTTGAAAATGTGACTTTTTCTTTTTGTAAATAGGAAACTCGTCTGTATTGAAGCCCGTAAAAATAATGACTCATAATTATGAGATTTATTTTTATGATATCATTTATGAGATCATTTATGTCATAATTTATGTCATAATTTTGACTTAAAAGTTTAAATTACGACTCTAAATCCCATATTGATGACCTACCATGGGTCATTTTATTACTTTCAGGTGGAGGAAATATGCTCCATACATTGGCAAACAATCCAGGAGGACAAAAAAAAAAAAAAAAAAAACAAAGAAAGAAAGAAAAAAAACCCAAATGCTATTTATTTTGGTAGTCGTGTAACACACAAACACATAAGTTGATGAGAATATATACAAAGTGGAATTCACTGTTCTTATTTACACATTTACATACGACTAACTAAACCCTTAAAGAGACAAGATTCCACCTTGGGCTACGCCTAATATAGGCTGATACAGAATACATCAACTACCCCCTTTCTCCTGATGTCGGCAACCTTTGTCTCCAGGGGACGGAGTCTGCTCTGACCCCGAACGTGTAAGGAGGAGGAGAAACAGAAAGGGCCATTCGTATTTTCTTAAAGACAAATAACACGACAACAGAGAATATCACAGAGCAGGCCGAACTCTGCTGTCTTAGGCACCATGGGACAGACGGAGCTGATACTGGTTTGAAACGCTGCACATTGACCTTCTAGGGGGCGAGTCACAGTTAAACGAGGGTCCAGGAGAGTGATGACGCAGGATGGTGTCAAAGGATCAAAGTGAAGTGGATAAAATGGTGGAGTCCCAATGGAGGGAAGCAGTACCTGTGAGTGGAAAATCCCAGAAAGTGCAACACCGCCCTCTTGTGTTTGCATGCTTATTCTCTTCATATGCAAATGCACAAGGGTTTATTATACTGTACATTCCATTGAGATTATTATTGCCTTGTAAAAGAGAGGAGAGGAGTGATAACTTTGGGGAGAACAATGGTGAATACCATAAAAAAGGAAAAAAAAAAAAAAACGGACTCGCCTTCATTTAACCTCACTATCCCAGCACAGCCTATATTTAATGCTCAAATTTAACCAGTGCTGCCTTGGAAAAGTAATAATATCCCCCAAAAAATTAGCTACTTGACCAAATAAAACCAAAGACTTTGATTTATTTTATGTTATATGTAGCAAAAATAAACAATTGCATCATTGTGAAGTTAAACGAACATTACCAGAGGTTTTTCAAAACTATTTACAATGATAAACTGTGATTTTTTATTTATTTGTAATCATACCCTCAACATCCAAACAACCCTAAATATAATGAGGTGCTAGAAACTGCTTTTAAACAGTTCTGTGTATAAGATTAATTTTGTGGCATTCATCCTAATTATACCGTACAGACAAAAAGAGCAATGTCAGCAAATAAAGGAACATGGTGATTGAAGGATGTTAGGAATAATCTTGCTCATTCATAATAAGAAGACTTGTTATGCCCTAAAATATCCAGATTGTTACAGAAAGATAGTTTTTCCTACCCACCCATGCCATAATGCTATAAGTCACGGGTTCCCATAGTTGGGGACAGGTTGGTGTCGTGAGAATCCAACTTCAGGCTAGGGACAAGGTTTTCAAATTCACTGTCATGTGATCCCTAAAATATATGGAGTGCTAAAATAGATCAGGAACTAAATGAATGTATAAAAAAAAATTGAAAAACACAAACCAGCGACAACTTCCAGGTGATGAACCCAGCGCTGGAACTCTGTATGCTATTTCTGTAATTAAATGTGTTAAAATGTCTTTTTCTAAAGTTATTTAGAATAAGGAGTGTTATTAAAGTGTTATATAAAGATTGATATATCCAGGGCAAATAAACTGGGGAAAAAGCACAAGTGCCTTATGGCATCAAACCAGGGACCTTCAAAGATGCTAGCCCAGGTGGGAAAAAGTTCCTAACAATTGGCATTGCACCATGCATAGGTGACCTGCAAGTGTTTGTGGAGGGTTAGCGGCTCAAACCCCACATCTTTTTGACTAACTTTATGCCCTTGAACAATTCACCCCAATTACCTATATTGATGGTGGTCAGAGGGCCTGATGGAACCCAGCAGTCTTTCTTCTGTCAGTGAGCCCTAGGGCAGCAGTGGCTAAAAAAAGTTAAAGTTGCAAAAAAGTAAAAAAAACAAACAACCCAAGACTTTGTTTCAGAGTTTGAAGACGTTTCACTTCCCATCCAGGAAACATTTTTAGTTCAAATTGTCAGAAATAGTTTTGAGATTGAGGCTTTGTAGAGTGGACCAAAAACAAAGCCTTGTTTTGGCTTAGATAACATGCAAATTAAACCGGATGGTGGAAAGGGGTCCTTTTTGGTTTATTTTTTAGCCAGCAATAATCAATACCTGTCTATGTCTCTAAAAGGGGGGTCAATAAAGGGAATTGTTGGCCTAACTGAACAGGCGAGCCAACAATTCCCTATAACTTAACAGGCTAACAAAGAACCCAAACGACCCCCATTCCAAAGGGGCGGACCCGTTCGTCCAGTTAAATGTTCATGTTTTCTAAGCCAAAACAACGCTTTGTTTTTGGTCCACTCTATAAAGCCTTGAATTGAACACTATTTCTGACATTTTGAATAGCAAAAGCTTCCTGGATTGGAAGTGAAACGTCTTTAAACTTGGAAACAAAATACAGTATATTGTTTTTTAACTTTTTTGGAATGACTATGACCTGGATGACTGAGAATCTTCACCAGCATATATGAACGGGTGAATAACGGAATGTCCCCAGACTTTAATAAGTGTTATATAATTACAGGCCATTTACAAATAAGAAACCAGAAAATTGCCCCCTTGTTCTACTCAAGGAACATGTGTCAGGACTTGAAAAACCTCTTTTTTGATAGAGGCTCCCAATTAACACTGACTAGGAATGTTGTTTTCTTTTCTTCCAAATCTAATACATTTTAGTCTGTGTCTTTACCTTGTTTAGATATTAAAACATTCAGGGGGTATCATTAGTTTTTCAAGGCACTGTAGGTGCAACGTGATTTTAATCGCCACTGGCCTCGACTGTTCAACCATCTGAAATACCAGTTCAAGCCAAATGGAGTTGTGCTAGCTGATTTTGAGCATGTTGAGTGTACAACTATTTACGCATATTTTTAAGCACTGAAAAGCCATCAATACAGAATTTTTAAACATGTACTTTTTTAAAGTTGATATGAACTCAGAGGAGAAGAGAGGATTGGAAGGTTCAATACAAATTTAAACTGGTCACATAAAACTGAAGAGGCCGTTGGGTAGAAGTAATGTTTCGTGGGTGGTAATGGGGAAAAAAGAGCGGGAGGAAGTCAGAGTCCCTGTGCTTGTTAGCCGGCTCGGCTAGGCTGGGCTAGCCCGTCAGCATTGCCCTGTCAGCCATCAGCTGCTCAAGTAGCCGTGTAATTCTCTGGAGTTGATGCTCAGGATAACACCTGAGTGGTTGCCTGGAGACAAGTGGGGAAACAAAACACCACAGATACAAATGAGTTTTTTTACTTCAATGATACATTGCAAACTTTTTTATATTATTGCTAATGTCTAAAAATAACCAAACATTCTTGGAAAATTGATTTATTTCCTGAGACCAATAAACTGTGCTCTAACGCAAAATGTTATATTATGGTTGTTTTGTGGTTTAAGTATTCAAGGAGGAGACTGCTAATATGACATTGGTTATTATGGGCTGCAATCCTACTGCAGTTCTTGATTCTCACTTCGATTTCCTTTCTGGAACCTAATTATTTTTACTTCTCATAGAGTAGCAATAAAAATACACCCTGCACAACAGTAAGAAATGAGAAAGAAGAAATATTTGTTGAAATTATGACATGATTTATATCTAAATGATGTCTGTTTGGTTGAAAAGTGAAAGGTTAAAAGCTGTAATATTCAGATGTTGAAAACTGGGTTTGCAATGTCTTTTCAATGTCTATTATTGGACTAAAGATGGATATAATGAGATCGACCAAACACAGCCCAGTTTTCAACAACTATTTCTGGACTAAATCAAGACTATGACGGACTGACCAGATTCAGCCTAAAATCGTCCACATGACGTCTGGTGTTTTGGGGGGGAGAAGCCATTTATTGTGTGGGAAACTAATGAATAAAATGAGATTGAAACTCTTTTGTGTTGTGATTAAGAGGACGGCAGGACAGAATGTTTGTATGCAAATCGACAATAATTTATGTTCGATGTAAAGACTTTCCTATGAGCCGTTCAATTTTTGGCCTTACTCTTGGCCTTTTGGTTTTATCTCTGTCTATTGACGAGGTCTAATTTCCCAATGTCTTTTTACTGTCATGACATCGGTCTGTTTTGCCAACTACTACTGTTTCCTGCTGGGCAGATGTACAGTAAAAGGGATGGAAATTGATAAAAAAAGTTACATCTAATCGCATTGTTTCTTTTCAATGGAAATTCTAAAACATCAGGTACAACCTGGATTCAGGGGTGCATATAAAGGTTTCTCAAATTTTACTTAAAAAGATATTGACTAAATCTCAGAATTCCAGCTTGTTTTAAACAGCCTGACTTGCCCCCCAAAACATGCCTTGATTTTAGCACTTGTTAGAATGAAGTCCTTATGAATGAGGCAAGTGGAACTGAGTGTCAATGTATACCAATGGGGCATTTCCTCTAGGAGTGGCCAGACTATATATATATATATATATATATATATATATATATATATATATATATATATATATATATATATATATATATATATATATACACAGTGGGGCAAAAAAGTATTTAGTCAGCCACCAATAGTGCAGGTTCTCCCACTCAAAAAGATGAGAGAGGCCGGTAATTTTCATCATAGATATACCTCAACTATGAGAGACAAAATGAGAAAAAAAAATCCAGAAAATCACATTGTCTGATTTTTAAAGAATTTATTTGCAAAATATGGTGTATATACAAACCATATGGTGTATATACAAACCATTTATATACCATATAAATATGGTATATATATATATATATATATACAAACTTTCCTTGATGGGCCCTTGACTGGTCCCCAACAATTCCTTTTTAAACATCAGTCTTTGTACTAAAATATTTTTTCTTACATTATTTGTGGACATTAAGATCTAAATTACAGACCCTTTAATTCAGTGAAAGGGTGGAGTCAAAGTAAATAAAAATGCACGCCCAGGAGAAGGCCAGTGGCTGAAACTTGGAGGGGATTGTGCTGGCAGCTGCAGGGAAGAGGGCTGCCATTCGGCTGGCTTATGACTGAGAAGGGGCAATTTGAATGGCTGCTACTCTATAGACTATGCTGACTGGCATTTTCATAACACATTTTCAGTCTGATAGACTGTTTCATTCCAATTATGTCAACATAAATCATACAATTTCACTTTTTTTTTTTTTGATTGCAAATATGTCTCATTTTATATGTTTTGAGCATTTAAACAGATTTTGATACCCACCACCAGGAAGGCAAACCACACCTGAGTCATGCAAATCAAGCTGACTTTCCACTAAGTGCTTTGATCAATGAAAAGTTAAATGGAAAATCAAAGTGTGACAATAAAAATTTTAAATACCACACATAAAAAAAAGTTCATCATTGGAATGAACAATCTGTCTTATGACATGCTAACTAGGTGAGATGCAACCGTGAATAACAGGGATGATTATAAGTGCCTTAAAAACATTGTGAAACACCAGTAATCATAAACAAAAGGGTGAAGTTATTCAGTACCTTGGTGTTTGTGAGCTGCTGGAGTTAGTGGCTTGGGTTTTAGTAGCAGTGGTTAGTGGTAGTCCTTATAAGAGAACGGAAGGCAGGACTACCTCCAGCGTTACCTAGAGTCTGGGAGTCCAGGTCGTCATCGATAAACTCCTCCCCTTGGATGATGTGCTGGGTATCCTCGCTGTGGTTGACAGGGCTCGTCATCTCCTGTTCCTTCTCATTGTGCATCTGGGCATAGATGTTGCGGTTTCCAGGAAGCTTCCTAAAAAACAGTGGAGGATAGGCATCCTCAGTCCTAAGCCAAGGACTGTGGGATTTGTTTTTTTTCATGAGATGGGGCTGTAGAACTGCATGGCATGTTTTAATTCAAGTGACTTTCTGGTGGATATTTGTGTTTTGGACTTAGGGTTGTGATACTGGTGTCATTGTGAAAAAAATTGCATGCAGTTCCTAAAATACAGACTAAGTTTCATGCAAAATATTGCTTTTTTTGTGCAAAGAAGGAAGAAGGGTACAGTATCTTTTAACGTTAAACATTTTTCAGATTTGATTTTCAAGAAGTATTTTTTAGCAATAATAATGAATCGAGTAAACAAAAGGTTTCATAGCTATGAAGACATTATTTAACATTTCATCATGCTTTACCCATTTTGTTCTACTGTAAAAAACAATCTTGGAGTTGAACTTGTCATGCCAAGACCTTGATTTAAATAAATTCAGTTCAGTTTATTTATATAGTGCCAATTCACAACACAAGTCATCCCAAGGCACTTTACAATTCAACCAGATCATCCAGTCTAATTTATAAAAAAAATTCTGTATAAGTTTAACTGTTAACTTTTGTGTAAACCTTCGAAAATCCCTTCCTATGGGAAATGGGGCATCAAACATCCTGTACCTCCCAAAGTCTCTAGAGTCTCAAAGGGGTGTTTTTTAAATAATGTCAGATACAAATGTCTTAATTGCAAATTGTTAAAGTAGCACCACAGAGAATAATGGAGCATTCTGGTTCCCTAACACCAGATGGGACCTTTGGGAATCCAGTTGAAGTCAAAAACAGGAGCCACATTTTAATGAGTTTAAATCCATGGCCAAAGAGTCCAAACCACACTGCCTCTAACCATGGGACTCAGGCACCTGTGATTCCAGAATAATACTCTGCAAGTGCTTTGGAAAGACTAACCCCGTCCTTCACTCTGGACCATGATGCACTACTAGCAAAATGGAAAGTTCAAGGAACTCTGGCCTAAACTGCATTTTTTATGTTAATCTGTGGTCAAAATACCATATAAAAAGGGGCTTTTTGAGTATTTTCAGTTGTATAAAAATACATTTTCAAGATGAATAATAGTTTTCTATCTAATTTAGAGTTCATGAAACTCCTGTATTTCATTATGGGATATGTACTTTGAAATTCTTACTAAATACATAGATATCTAAGGAATGAACTTTAGAGGTGCACAGGGACTTTAATTGTGTAAGTCCACAGCAAATACAAAAAGTTCTGCAAACAAAGAAGTGAGACTAGCAATCACAAAACTGAGACTAATGCAAAACATCTTTTACTGCTTATAGGGTGCTTTCTAGTTTACGTGTTCTGTGTTTTAAGGTTATTTGTGTATTTGAAGCAGATTTGTATTTGCAGATTTTTGACTATGCTGCTCTATTTTGTGAGTGCAGCACTTCTCATATGTTTTATATGTTTTTGTGTTAGTCTTGTTTTTGAGTTTGCAGTAGTTTTTGAATTTGCTGCAAATTTATGCATTAAAAGGCTGCTCGGACCTCTCAAGTGGCATTTTGCCACCTCAAAAGGGGGATTACTGGGAGTTTATTTATTTTAACCCCTTAAACCCGAAGAGTTTTAGGAGCAATTTCCATCTGAAATTACATATCTGATTAAATTAAGTGTAGCTCCAAAGTTATAAAGTTGAAACAGAGAAATTTTTTTTGCAGTTTTAGTCATTAAAGAATATTTTCTAAGTGGAACTTCTGGCAGTATTGTACTTAATTTACAGTTGATAAAACAGCAAACTAAAAAAAATTACATTTTGAGCTTAACATAATGTTTTTCTGAAAAATAAATTTTGCAAAACACTTCATCAAAATGCAAGCTGTTTTCTAAAGATTATGGTGTAACAATTTTCCTATACAGTAAAGCTGCTATTGGCCATTTTCTTCTTTTGTGATATTTGAGAGAGAAGAAATAAGAACATCAAGATTGACGAAATGGCGCTTGCAGATGCGGGCAAGGTGATCTGTCTTCTCAGCAGACTGAACAGTTTACACACTAAGCATGCCTGCAGATTGCTTCTCTGAAAATGATCCGACAATGACCTCAAACCACTTGGAAAGGTGAGGGTCTCTAGTTTTCACCGATACTAGGCAATAGGGGGTATGAATAAAAACAGCTCTGTGCTGTTGCACAATTCCGGCAAACTTGAACATGTCGGGTGGAATTTAGGTTATGAAATTACTCTTCATTGTGTGTATATGTGTGACATCCTGCACCCGGCTTTACACTGACATCCTGTGTTGATATGACGACTTGCAAGAACGACACTCCAAATGTTGCTTTAGCATGAGAAGCATCTGTGTTTATGTTACATGTAGGATGACCTGTGAATTTCTGTTATTACATCATTTGGAAACTTTGACGTTTGGATGTGTGTGCAGGAAGCTGTAGCTTCAGATTTGAGGAAAGCCAGATAGAGCCAGATGCTCAGTTAGTGTTTTTTTTATTTTTAACATAGATAAGCTAAATGCATACAGACTATATCTTGACAGGGCATAACCCTAGAATAAGTAAGTGAGACATGTTGAGCTAGGGGACGATCTTTGTTTGTAGTCTCAAAGAGGCTAATACTGAGCTGTGGTCCAGGCCTGAGGTAAAGTCTTTCTCTGTATGATGTGTTTATTATCAACAGTTTTGTTATAATTGAACAGAAAACATTCTATTAGTACTAAAGGTATTTTCTCATTTTTGCATCGCTTTGAAAACTGTTCCTCACAAATAAACTATAGTTCATTCCTTGGTGCGCTATATTTATTTAGCAAGAATACATAGTTTTAAAAGCTTAGCAATAACCTTGGAGTTGAATGTAACTGCAGGGTTTTTAAGTTGTATTCTAAGTAATATATTTATACCAAAAAAGTTAAGAGTAAAAAAAACACTGGACTTTTTTTTTTTCCCAAGTTAGAAGATAAAGACAAACTAAAACGTGAGTCCACCAGTTTTCAGCTCTCAAAAACCTACAACACAGCAATACAGTTGATTCCTTACTGCTATGATATCAATCCTCATTACCATGCAGGCGACCAAAACATCACACCTAGTCAGCCAGGCCAAAAATGACCCTAACAACTCCCTTTTCAGAGGAATAGGCCAGTATTGGGTATTGCAGGCTAACAAAGACATCAACAACACTCCACTAGTAAGGGGTGGAACCGTTTTTATGGTTCAGTTTGCATGTTTTCTAATCCATAACAAGGTTTTGTTGAGCTACTCTATAAAGTTTGGAACTGCAAATCCAGACATTTTGAGTTGAGAAACCTTCCTGGATGGGAAGCGAAACGTCTTAAGACTTGGAAAACAAAGTCCAGTGGTTTGTTTTTTTACTTTTTTAACTTTATTGGAAGGACAATGACCTGGATGAATGAGAATATTCACCAGCATAATATGTCTCCTAGTTTTTTTCTTTTACAAAAACTAGGAGACATATAAACTAACTCAAACATAAAAGCTAGAATTATTATAATGCTTCACTAAAAGTAAATTCACAAGATTGAGTAAAGAATTTCTATAGAAAAAACTACTAACATAACATAACTAACGTGGGGTAACATCTATGAATCCAGACAAACAAGAAATTACTGTTTGCGAGGATGAGGCTTACCTTTTAAACTTATAAAGAATAAATGAGCCAGTGCCAATGACGCTTATTAGGAATATCACAGCTAGTGCCCAAACACCTGGACCTCCAGCTGCTCCATGGTAGCCTGGGAGATAACAAAAAGGCACAGATATCAGAGAAGAACAAAAATATTTTAAGGCTGGGAAACAGAGCAAAACCAATGATTTGTTAGAAAATATGCATTTGGTGTCAGAGAAGAGGTGTAGAATAGGATGGTACAACACGTTCAAACTGGATAATATTTAGATCCAGTCGGACACAACAAAAGGAAAAGGCGAAAGGGTTTAAACTGTGTTTGAAAGTGTTGGATGAACGGTTGGTGAACCCACCATTCTCTGTCGCTGTGGCTACTGAGTCATTAGCAATTAGACCTATTTAATAAAAATAATTATTAGCATGCTGTTAATGTAAATATGTCAGTAAAATATGAATTGCAATAAAATAAAAAAACATAATTTTAAATAGACTGTAACAGTCATAACTTTCAAGTCTACCTGCATTTGGGTCGGCTAACATCACCAGCACCCGCAGACCTCCTCGGACCATGAAGCTGATATTCTTGTCGTTGAAAGCTTGCATGACAGCTGGAATACGCTACGAATATGAACACATTTTTATTACTTAATTTTTACTGGATGTGTCAACATATTTAGGCAAAAAGATGGTAAAATGGATAGACATATAGTAGCTGTGTAGGATTGTGTGGATTTACCTTATCAACAAACACACTGCCCTTGGCTTGTTTGGTGTCCAGTGGCAGGACATACAGGTCAGCAGTAGTTGGAAGGCCTGGGTTCACGACAGTAACAAGGGCGTCCTGAGGTACACCTGTGGTCTGAGGACATACAGTTATAATTAGAGTAGAACTGTGAATGGCTGGTGATAAACACCATTTTTACAAAGAATATCAGTGTATTCTCATTATCAGTTCGTATGAAATCGTACGAAAAGTTTTTGACGTTTTTTTCGTCATATTTCGTTGTATTTTTACATCTTGCCTCGAGACAAGATATCCGTGCGCATGCGCATCTTACGCACCATTCAATAACATACAATTTAACATACAATTAACCCTAACCCTAACATACAAAACAGCAAGCAACCTAGTGAATCATGAGGTAATTATTGCACTGTCCATCCCAGTTTTACGTCCGTCCGCCAATCTGCTTTTTTCGTCTGTCTGGCTGTGCATGCGCACTGATATGGTTTTTCGAGGAAAAACGTCAAAAACGTACGAAATACTGTGCATAACTTTTCATACGATTTCATACGAACTGATAATGAGAATATGTTGAGAATATTGATTGTATCTTTTTCAGCAGCTAATTTTTTTTCCCCACATTGAGAACAGCACTAATGTCATCTGAAATGAATCCTATAAAACAAAACTCACATCATGCCTTATATTCTTGTATATTCTATAAAGCCTGGAAATCGACACTACTCCAGACATCTTAAATTTAGAAAGTTTTCTAAATGGGAAGTGAAAGATCTTCAAACTTGAACGAAAAGTCCAATGGTTTTGTTTTTAACTTGTTTTTGGAATCATGACTTATAGACCTGCTGATGGAAAAATGTTAAGAGTGTTGGCAAACATTTAGTTTAGAGGGCAACCTTACAATGTCTACTCAGGGAGTAGGGTGTTAGTATGAAAGTCTCAAACAGTTCAATTCAGTTTATTTCTATAGCGTCAATTCACAACACATGTCATCTCAAGGCACTTTACAGTTCAACCAGATCATACAGTCAAATTGATTCAAGAAAAGCCAGTTGATTGCATCGACTCATTAACTCCAACGCAATCCCTCACACTAAGCATGCCTGTAGCGACAGTGGAGAGGAAAAACTCCCTTTTAACAGGAAGAAACCTGCAGCAGAACCAGGCTCAGTGTGAGCGGCCATCTGCCGAGACCGACTGGGGTTCAAGGAGAAGGAAGCAGACACAGCTGACCGAGGGGAGCTGTGGTAGTTGATGGTGAAGATTTAACGGGTAATTCCAAGAGGGTCTCAGAACTAATCTCTTTGTGAAATAATGAGAAATGTTTTGGTTTATCCTCTTAATTTTTGAGAAGTGAGCAGGAGATTTTCCTCACATATAAGGATCCAAAATTTCAAATGTTTTGAATGAACCCTGGAGTAAATCTAATTAATCTTCAAAGACCTACCTTAGAGAGAAGCTTGGTGACCACTTTGCCGATGTCTTCCCTCCATTCTGGGATGTTCGGGTTAAAACGGTCCAGGTTCCTGCTGAAGCTCAGGGGGATGACTTGAAAGTTATCTAGAGGTAAAAGTCAATTGTAATCGGAGTTAGAACCCACAACCCAGATGATCAGAGAAGTCCAGTTTAACCTTAGTATAGTTAATTATAGAAAATCAAAGCTATGGGAACACACCGCTCTCTCTGAACGGACATGTGTATTGCTGCCAATCATCTTAGAGGGAACATATGAGGCAGTTAGTCTTTTCTGGGCTGTTGGTACAGAAAACTTTAAGGAAATGGGCTACCATTCGGCTGGTGTTTGACTGGGAAGGGCCATTTTGAATGGCTGCTACTTTAAGCAAGAGTTGTTACAATGATGCCTCTTTCAGCCTTAAGTTCTGATAGGCTTACCGTAGACTCTGACAATCTTTGTATCTTGCACCATGGAACGGCCATTGGAAGCTTGGACGGTGACAGAAAATTCTCCGCTCTCTGGGAAACGGGTCAAAAGGCTGTTCTCCAGAGTCAGTTTAGGCTGGAGAAGAGAATGAGAGTCTGATGGGTGACAGGGACCAAAACAAGACCAGCATAGACCAACACAGCCTGAACTGATAGCACGTTTAACTGTTCACTAAATCTCTTATATTTCAATTATTATACATAAAAATATACATTTATTGTGTATATAAAATATACTTAATTATATTTACAACACTTTATCAACATCAACTGCTGCTTCAAGAATTTAATCCATTTTGCAGACAACCCTGTATTAAAAAAGTAATGCCTAACTGTGAAGCAGAAGGTTCCTTGCATGTTTTCTAGAACTTTTAAAGGGGTCATAGAATGCAAAACCGAGTCTCCATTGTCATAGATTAATAACGATAGTTCAGTTGGTGAAATGGACGTACATCGATAAAACGGGCAAATGAAAACGAAGCAACGTATTGACGTCAATTTGGGGATGTTGTCTTATTTGGTTCTGGCCTGTACTTTTGTCACGCCCCGAAATTAACATACAGAGCAGCCAACTGGTTCACTATCGTAAATGCAGTGCTCCAGGCTGCACTGAGAAAGGGAAACATTTTCATAGTCTTTCCATGGACTCAACGGGCATGGATTATTTTTGTCTATCAGAAGATCCCTGCAAAGTTTAATGCTCAGCTGTTCAGTTGCTCTAAGGCTTGGAGCTAAGCATTTTACCGAAGACAGCTTTCAAAATCTTGGACAGTTCAAAGCAGGATTTGCTAAACTTCTTTTACTGAAACGAGCTGGAAAAGCTGGAAGTATGACTCAGTTGCTAAGCTGTTGATAGTAATGCTAGCATATCTATGGTGACCAGTTTTGGATTTCTAAAAAGGAGGATGGTTTTTTTTTTTGGGGAGAGGAGCTCCGGGGGCTGGTCTGGGATAGCCGGGGGCCAGGGACAGAGCGACCGAACCCAAACCGGTAGCCACTGCCCCGTGCCTCCAACCGCCTGGCTTCAGGCGGGGCAGCGGCTACCATCACCAGTTCGGGTTCGGTCGCTCCGTCCTTCTCAAAATCTTCGTCGGAGGCAGGTGGGCAGCTCCAGGAACTCTGCTCCAGAGTCCCTGAAGCAGCATCGGAGCTGGTGGCTCAGTTCTGCTGTCGACCAAAATCCCGCACTATTTTGAAATTCTCCCCGGACATTTTTTTTAGGTGTGAAAAGAGGACGTCTGGTCCCGCTAGCATATCAACAATTTGATGTTTCAGTGAGTAAGTGCTTGTTGCTATAATGCGTCCTTGCTCAGCAGCTTCGCTCGTTGTAAACCAACCAATCAGCGCACAGCTCATCTAAATATTCATGAGCATACCATAAAAGAATGAAAATCTGTTGTTGCATTCTATGGCTTTTAACCAGACTTGCATTAGGGCTCATAGAACAGCAAATATGCCATTTTGAGCCCAACCGATGTTGCACACCCTATTCAGAGACCTCAAGGACCAGCACTAAATAATGACACCGTTAATAAAATCTGAAAAGTTTGGTACACATCAGTGACACACCTGTACACTGATGTAACCAAATAATATCCAGTTGAAACAGTTGCTTTAGAAGTCAGGATGTTTAAAGTGTTGTTTAAACTCAGCTTGAATCCAGTTGTTAGACAACATTAGAGAGAGGACAACTTTGTGAAGACCAAGTAGCACAGCTGACTGATAAAGATAAACTAAAGGGATTAACGGGTATTGACTATGGGTATGCTGATCTGACTGGGTATGCTCATCTGACAGAACAGCAGACTTTGCTTCTAAAACAAAGATACTCAGCATTTTATTACTTTTCAGCTGAAAACAAAGTCTTTGACACATCTGTAAAACTCAAAGATGGTGAATATGTGACTAACAGATCAGGCAAGGACAGCATTAAATCAGCGCATCAAGACACATTATGATCATTCTGTAGTACAGTTTTTTTACAGTACTAACATTTTTAAACTTGATGCAATACTAGGAAAAAAAATTCAAAACCATTTTCATTACCGTGGAAACATTTTTTCAAGGTAAGATTATTTCTGTTTATGGGCAAAGACATTTATTACAATAAGATAATCAAACCAACATATATAGAAATGTCTCTAGAGGATTAAAACAAACCAAATTAAAAATAAAATCTAATAAATCACAACATTAATAACTGGTTTAAAATGTTTAGAAATCTACTGAATAAATATATTGGAAATAAATAGAGAAATAAAATGGGAGGATCAAATAGATTTTACAAAATGGTAAATGCATGTGATATTTTAAGAAAAAAATCCTAATTTTTAATAGCTACATTTAAGTATATTGTTTACTTATTTATTGGGCATTAATACATTTCTGTTTACATTTTTAATTCTATCACTATTGGCTCTCCATAAATGTCAGCACTCCTTTATACAAATCCAACAGAAGCTCATATGAAACACTGTTGCCAACTTAGCGATTTGAAATGTCAATCCGTAATTATGGGTTTTATTATTCTGTGGCTTAAGGACCCGGTAGTCTGACACAAAGAAATGGAAATTGAATCATATCACAGAAAGTTAAAAGAAACAAATAAAGTTTTTAATTCAACCAAATCAATTTTCAAAGCAAATAAACTAATTGTCAATGAAATTAGATTAATTTTCAAACTAATACATTGAATGAAATCAATAAAGATTCAGTCTGAACAATTCAAATACATTTTCTGATGGCTAATTTTTCTGCCTATATATCAAACTGATCCAGATCACATACAAGGAAATTGGCGATTAGACTTCGATTTAATGCGAAAAATGGGTATGATTTATTTTTTTTTGTTAAAGACCATTTTGTTATAGATATCGGAGGACGATGTTAGGTTTATTCAATGATGATTATAAAGTTAATGTTTGTACATATGAACTATTGGAGAAATGAGATGCTTCACTCCGTTTACTGCAAACTGTCATGCAATGGTGGTGGAAAATTGCTAATGTTTGTTCAAGGCTAATCACAGTTATCAGAAGACCACTCTGTTCTGTGATTCAATCAGAGGAGCATTTTGTCCTATGACCTGATCAGTTGCATTGTCAGAAGAACACTGTTTTGTAACCCACCCCATATGTTATGATCTGCTAATAAAAGACGACTGCAGGAGGGGGGTCGGGAGAAAGACTTAAAAGCTGGGTTGGGCTCTTTCCACTCCTGCAGGAGCTGTTTGAATCTCTTTCCTGTGTGGACTCAGTTTTTCTTTTACGAACCTACATTTTTGAACCTAACAGACAACATTTCAATTTTAATATTAATTAAAATACTATTGCGAAAAAAAGTTTTCTGAGTGAGTGAATGTTGTTTTTATTATCTCTAATTTTCTTTCCTACAAAATTTTGAATTGGACCTTGGCTGGTTCCCTACATTTCCTTTTTAAACATCAATCTTTGTACCAAAATATTCTTTCTGTCATGATTTGTGGACATTAAGATCTAAAGAGAAGCGTCATCTCCTGGTTAAACTTGGTAATTCAGTGAAAGGTTGGAGGTGGTCCCTCCAGCGGCTGGAAGTTGGAGAGGATTTCAGTGGGAGGAAAGTGGGCTGCCATTCGGCTGCCGTTTGACTGGGAAGAGCCATTTTGAATGGCTGCTACTGTCTATACTGTATATAACAAGAATATAAACTTTTTTATTGTATTTTAGGTTTTATATTATGTAATACCAGCAGAAGATATTAGACGTTACCTTCAAGTTGTCTCCAAGCCACCAGTAAAAGACAGTCAGGTTGGCGTTGGTGGGAAGAACTATGGCTGTCAGGTTGACCTCATTGTTTCTCCTGGCAATGGGGACAGCTTCCAGGTGAACTTCCTGCAGAGGCTCTGTACAGGATAAGGATTGACTATTATTCTTATATGACCACATATTTATTTTACTTTGCTTCACCCCAAAACCTCTCTCTGTATGTTATCCTTGCCCTTCCTGTCACGACCAGTTATTTACTTAAATGTAAAAAAAAAAAAAAAAAAAAGACACATTCAGCAAGACTAACACAGTATCCTCTGCCGCCTTTACACATCAATTAACAAATTGGGTCACTTCCATAATCATGCCTAAGGTTTTGCTCCTTAATAAGAATAAAAAAAGCTTAGAGGAGATCTGATTGTCTGGTAAACAACTCTTTTAATTCTAGTTGAAACCACACAGCCTTTCCTACTAATGACCGTATTATTAATTTTCACAGACAATATGGCAATAATCACTACAGCTGCATTAGAGAACAATGTTATGAGGTATAATTGCAGGAAATATCAAACACAGAATGGGTTTTATTTCACTGTTTACATAAGTTTGATTTAAAGAAATTACCACAATCTGTAAAATGATTTAATTTCCCTTCTCATTGCTGGTTAGTCCAGTATTGGAGCACCTTAACATCCACTGTGATTGCCTGACCACTTCCTGGTCTTCTTACCAGAATTTCCTTCCTCAAATTTCTATTATAATTCACCTTCTGTTTCTTTGCAGTAATGATGTTGCTGAAAAGTTGCACTAATCTTTCTGATTTGGCAACAGTCTATTATTTGCTTTCTTTGTCACCAAAATGCACATACTGCTAACCATTCAAGAGCAGCATCTAATTGTTCTTGAACAGTTGGTTTTTGTTTTTTGTCAATTCCTGGTTGGCAGGTAGGGGTTAAGTTTAGTGCCACCAAAACATATAAGAATAACTTTCATTTTGATTGAAAAAAACAAAAAAGGATGTCATAAAAACAGTAAATTGTCATTCCTGAGAAAAACACACAGCTGTAAGGGTTAAAATTAACTGTATTTAGTAAATCAAAGCATGGTGCGCATTAATAGGTACACCTTTCTGCCATTCAAGAGACTTATAACCTTACTTTCATTAATATAGAAACAGATTTGTCTGTAAAAATCAGGCCCATTTTCAATTATACCTGAACTAGACTATGTAGCAGTGGAACCGTGTCCTTGTAGTGGGAAAAAGTGTTCAACTACAGTGGGGCAAAAAAGTATTTAGTCAGCCACCAATAGTGCAAGTTCTCCCACTTAAAAAGATGAGAGAGGCCGGTAATTTTCATCATAGATATACCTCAACTATGAGAGACAAAATGAGAAAAAAAAAATCCAGAAAATCACACTGTCTGATTTTTAAAGAATTTATTTGCAAAATATGGTGGAAAATAAGTATTTGGTCAATAACAGAAGTTCATCTCAATACTTTGTTATATACCCTTTGTTGGCAATGACAGAGATCAAACGTTTTCTGTAAGTCTTTACAAAGTTTTCACACACTGTTGCTGGTATTTTGGCCCATTCCTCCATGCAGATCTCCTCTAGAGCAGTGATGTTCTGGGGCTGTCGCTGGGCAACATGGACTTTCAACTCCCTCCAAAGATTTTCTATGGGGTTGAGATCTGGAGACTGGCTAGGCCACTCCAGGACCTTGAAATGCTTCTTACGAAGCCACTCCTTCGTTATCCGGGCGGTGTGTTTGGGATCACTGTCATGCTGAAAGACCCAGCCACGTTTCATCTTCAATGACCTTGCTGATGGAAGGAGGTTTTCACTCAAAATTTGACGATACATGGCCCCATTCATTCTTTCCTTCACACGGATCAGTCGTCCTGGTCCCTTAGCAGAAAAACAGCCCCAAAGCATGAGGTTTCCACCCCCATGCTTCACTGTAGGTATGGTGTTCTTTGGATGCAACTCAGCATTCTCTCTCCTCCAAACACGACGAGTAGAGTTTTTACCAAAAAATTCTATTTTGGTTTCATCTGACCATATGATATTCTCCCAGTCATGGTCTGGATCATCCAAATGCTCTCTAGCAAACTTGAGACGGGCCTTGACATGTACTGGCTTAAGCAGGGGGACACGTCTGGCACTGCAGGATTTGAGTCCCTGGCGGCGTAGTGTGTTACTGATGGTAGCCTTTGTTACTTTGGTCCCAGCTCTCCGCAGGTCATTCACTAGGCCCCCCCGTGTGGTTCTGGGATTTTTACTCACCGTTCTTGTGATCATTTTGACCCCACGGGTTGAGATCTTGCGTGGAGCCCCAGATCGAGGAAGATTATCAGTGGTCTTGTATGTTTTCCATTTTCTAATAATTGATCCCACAGTTGATTTCTTCACACCAAGCTGTTTACCTATTGCAGATTCAGACTTCCCAGCCTGGTGCAGGTCTATAATTTTGTTTTGGGTGTCCTTTGACAGCTCTCTAGTTTTGGCCATGGTGGAGTTTAGAGTGTGACTGTTTGAGGTTGTGAACAGGTGTCTTTTATACTGATAACGGGTTCAAATAGGTGCCATTAATGAAGGTAACGAGTGGAGGACAGAGGAGCCTCTTACAGAAGAAGTTACAGGTCTGTGAGAGCCAGAAATCTTGCTTGTTTGTAACTGACCAAATACTTATTTTCCACCATATTTTGCAAATAAATTCTTTAAAAATCAGACAATGTGATTTTCTGGATTTTTTTTCTCATTTTGTCTCTCATAGTTGAGGTATATCTATGATGAAAAATACCGGCCTCTCTCATCTTTTTAAGTGGAAGAACTTGCACTATTGGTGGCTGACTTAATACTTTTTTGCCCCACTGTATTTACTCCAGTCAAATAAACGGAGATCGATGGTGTGAGGGATTTACCCCCCTCACTAATTGGTGTTGTAAGCAGGCATTTCATGTCTTTCAGAAAAAATTTGTTATTGGGGGAAGGTTTAATTTTTTGTCTTTATTGATGTAACTTGTATATTTTTGTTTGGTTCTCACTACTCTGTTTTTCTTTGAGGTTACCTGGTCAGGTGTTGCCATGGAAGCGCGCCCATGAGCAGTGCTAACAAGGACCTGGTGTTTCCAATCAGCCTCATAAGGGAAATCCATACTAACTGAGAAGGAGGGGAGATGTTTTGAGTTTTGTCTGGACTTGGAGTATTGTTTAGCTTCAATTTGTTTAAGTTGATTGTAAATGTGTGTTATTTATTGTTTTTCCTCTAGAGGTTTAATTTAGTTTACTTCTTCACAAACAGAAAATGTAAATGTTAAAGTTTCCACCCCTTACAGGCTGATAATTCAGAAAGCTGGGTTGTTTAAATGTGGGTGTGTTTTTTTCTCTGTGTGTCTTTTTTTTCTGCTGTGATTGAAGAGAGTGGAATCCTTGCCTCTCTGCTTTGAAATGTAAGAGGTCCTTTTTTGCATATATATATATATACACACCGGTATATATATATATATATATGAAAAACAGAGTTCTATAATTTTTGGATCCAGTCTGATGCTTTTTTCCTCTTTTGGTGTGTTTTCTGGGCCTCATTGGCCATCTTAAGTCCACAAGGTTTCTGTGTCTGTAGTGCAAACCTTACAGATGGATTTCACTCAGTCGGCACTTTATTTTATCTTTGCAAAGAGAGAACACTTCGTCATATGGCCCTTATTTTGCACGGTAATCAGCCCTGTTCTGACCTGGGCAACTTTCCTTCCACCTTACTTACAATAATGGAAAGTAGTTTTAAACAAATTAAAGACATTTTGGTTAAACAGTAACATATTATGAATAAACCTTGATGAAGAATCTGGCTTGTTATGGGAACACTGGAAAAACAATCTAGAAATAAGTAAAAGTTTCTTAAATTAAGTGTATTTACCCTTAATTTGAGTAGGTAAACGAGATAGTTTGCCAATGGAATGGAAATTTTTACTCTTAAAATAAAATAATTAGATAATATGCACTTGTAATAAGACAATGCAATTGTGTTTTCTTATTTTAAGTGTAAATTGTCTCGTTCCATTGGCAAGATGTCACCTTTACTTCCTTAATCCAAGAACAAATGCACTTATTTTAAGAAAAAAACAACTTATCTAGATTTAGATTTTTTTCCAGTGAAGATGTATTTCTTGTCTACAAACACCCCTCACACCCCACTTGTGTGGCTACATAAGTGATACAGACTGAGTGAAAAACTTTTTTTTGTGAGTAAAGAGCATAAATCAATATATGAAATAAGAGAAATCTAAATTGTTTTGACCACAGTCCGTTTGATAAATAAAAGATGCCTTTCTGTTCAGCCTTCTAATAGACAGTAAGACAGGTCCAGGTTTGTGGTCTAAATGGATTCAGGTGTAAAATTTGGCGGAAAGAAGACTGTGCTTGCTTCATTCTTAGCTCCAGTAAAAAGAAGGTTTGATGCAGCAGGCAGGGGCCTTTCTCTCCCTTAAAAAGGAATAAAAAACATCAAATTTAAAAGATGGAAAATTGTATTTCACTGGGAAACAGACCTGTGACATGGATGTACATGGTGGTCTCCTCATGTCCCGCCATGTTTTCTGCCTTCACCGTAACCTTGTAAATGCCAGGTTTTTCATAGCGGTGCTGGATGGGCTCATCCGTCACTGTCAGGTTCTGGTAAATGGTTCGAACCCCGTCCCCGAGGTCCACCTGGTACTTTGTGCTGCTCGTGTCGCCCTGTTCAGACGGAAGAAACAGCAGCTTTAAACTGATTCAAATGATATGTTGGGGACTGGGGGAGAAGCAGCCATCCTCCTACCTGCTCCTGGTGGACAATGAATGTGACGTCGTCACCAGAAGCCACAGCCAGCATCTGGCCTTTGATGCCGACCCTCAGTCCTTTGGGAGGCAACAGAGGGCAGCTGTGCTGTTTGGCACTCTGCTGCTTGTTAAGGCCTCCTTCACAAGTGTTTGATATCACCTTCCTGTAGCTGAGAGACAGAGTTAGTGATGAAAGCATTAGCATAAAGTGCATGAAAGGTGGTTAAAAGACCATTTTAAGAAACATAAAAGTAAGCTCACAACTAAATTAGAATAAAGAAAACATTTGCTACCTAAAGATGGAATTAGGAGGAACTAAGCTTTTCTATAGCAAGAGATAAATACCCAAACATATAAGCTGCATCATCATCTACTTCTTTTACACTTTAGGTGCCTGTTATGTTATAAAGAATATGGAAAATGAAAACCCTAACATTACCAGAACCATATCTTCTGGAGAAATAAACTTGTATCTAAAAATAATAAATAAATAAATCAGATGTTGCCAAACATTTTCACTGTTAGCCTAAAAATAACTGGCTACCTGCTAAAAATTAACATAATTATTTCACTCAACTTTTAACATTAATATTATTCACTTTTAATATTAAATTTCTTTGAATAATATTACACTTTTATAATTATATGTATAATTAATATTATCATATATTAGTTTAAATGTATTTCTCATTATTAAATAGGAAATTTAATAATTTAATAGTGTATTTTACAATGTAATAGTATGATTTATAACTTAAATGATAAAACTAATGTTATATACTTTGTTAAATAAATAAATATTAAATCTATCTATTATATGGTAAACCTTTGTACTGCATGATATTTTTTGGCTCACCATGAAGATTAGGGATCCTATCTGTCAGGTTTCTGTTTCTGTTATGTTTTTCTTTTGAGTATTCAGTCTTACTTCACTCCTTGTTTTCTAGTGTTTAGTTTTATTTTCTCCATGTTTTATAGTCCTAGTTATTTGATTATCATTTTGTTGTTATTTCCAGTCTTCCAGGTTTCTATTTGTTGCTCTCTGCTGCCCTCTTATGTTCTCCTTCTTCCCTAGCTCTTTCCCTCTCTTGTTCTTTGCACACCTGCTCCCACTTTCCTCATTAGCCCCCTCTTTGTCTCAGTCCCCTTTAAAAAGCCCTCTCTCTTCAGTTCCCCTTTGCTGGGTCCTCGTGAAACACGGTCAAACTTGCTCCAACTCCTTCCCTCTGAACCTTCCTCCTTATGTTTGTGATTAGACTAGTTTTCATGTTTTGATTTTTTGGATTCCTGGTTTCATGTTTGTTTGGACTTTGTTTTCTTTTTGGATTTTTGGATAACCTGCCTCTGTTTTCTGCTAACTCATTATTAAATCCACAAGAGATTCACGTCTGCCTCCCTGCCTCTGCTTTTGGGTCAACTAACCTTAGCCAAATCGTCAAACAATATCACAATGACTGTGAAAAACCATTAGGGGTCCCGACCCTTACTTTGGCAAGCCCTGGCCTATGATGAATCTTTCAAACATAAAGGAGTCCTCAGACAGAAAACTGATTTATTTTTATGTTAAAACTTGTATGTTGGTTTTGGGCTGCAATGATAACATGTCTGAAAATCCACAGTGTGAAAGTGACGATATTTTTTTTTCTTTCATGTGGAAGTGTTCAAATAAGAAAGCCCAGAGAAGCGCCCTCCCCCAAAGTGAAATGTTGGTCCTCCTTCTGTACCGACATCAATCCTGGTAGGGAGCTAACTTTAGCCTGCCTTGCTATCACTTCTACCATATCTGTTCCAGCATATGGGGTTATGCCATTGATAAGGGACTGGAGCATTAAGAAGATTTATCATTTTTTTGTTTTATCACGAGGTAAATTTCTCCACTGTGAGATCAATAAATTTTAATCATTATTATTTGTGTAAGTGGCAAAAGAAGAAGAAGAAAAATCCTTATGGAATTGCCCCGCCCTGTGAATGACTGAATGTAATGAATCCAAAGATCCAATCCTATTTGGCTGTACATCTTATTTTGGCATTTGACCAATTAGATGAGCCCTTGAATGACATATTACCTACTGTAAATTAAGTAAAAAAAATGTTAACAAGTCAAGAAAAAATGTAAAAAGCCAATTGAAAAGTTAAAAAGTAATGTTAAAAAGTTCATAAGCCTAGTTAACAATTATATTTAGAGTTATAAACTAAAAAATGTAAGTACCAGTATCAGCATAAATGCCTTTAAGGTTATGTTGTACCAAAAATCAATGTGTTTCTTTTACTCTCAAAGTGTTTTTTAGGAATTTCTTATAGAAGCACTTTTGTTATTTTTCTTAATATATTCAGGAAAGTTGTCATCTCTTGTTATTACATTGACATTGATTTTTGCCATCAAAATATAATTTTTTTTATGTTACAAAAGTAATAAGATATTGTCCTGGATTCTAATAAACCTATTGGCTTAAAATTTTGATTTTAAAAGTATTTCACTTAGTGCCCTAAAAAAGGGTTAATAAAAAAACTATCCAACTATGATCTTCTAGGTTTTACTTTGCTTCAGAACATCCCTGCTTGCCGTGAGCTTATATTAACTGTGAAAGTGTACTTACCCAGTGCTAGATTCGTAATTTTGTCCAAGGTGGCAGTTTTCCGGGGGTGTTTCTGGATCATACCAGAAGTCAGGGAAACATCGGTCACCCTCTGTATAAGATCGCTCGAAGCCGTAATCACTGCATGGAAACCAAAGTTACAGCAACAATCAGAGTCACAGACGGTTGTAAAGACTCCAGAATTTCTTTTCTTATTCATGGTTTGTTTGTGTCTAATTTGCAGCTGACCAGATGAAGTCTTTGTCAGTACACTGGCAGGGCTTCGTAGTGAGAGCAGAGGTGTAGCTTTTGCCTTTGATGCAGAAGGAGTTCTCCTTTCTTCGTCTGAAAGTCCTCTCCTGGCCCATTATGCATCTTTCTCCCTGAGGGTGACAGAAGCACACCAAAACACTCACAAACCACTTCTGCATGAGCATTTTCTTTCTCCTCCGGGATCCTAAACCAATCTCATTATGTTAACAGAAATTACAAAGTCAAAGAATTGAAGTAACCCTGTTGTGTTTACGACTTTAAGTTTGATTTACCTGCAGGTCTGTGAGCTGCCAGGCCTCGTAATCTGACTCGGTGCACTGACGTGTGAAGGACTGCCTGAAGTCCACTTTAACCAGCTCCCAATCAGACCTGTAGCTGATGTGGCCAAAAACACTGAAAACAGACCAAGGCACACATGTTTAAATAATAAACTTGTTGCTTCAGGGAAGTGCAGCTTTTCCAGTGTTTGACTTGGCTTGTTCAATTTGTCTTCATTCATTAATAATGTAGAAAAAAGAGGGAAAAATCCACCAGTAGTTCAACTCCAGGGATGGTTATTTAAGCTGTCATACAATAACATGAGCATTCAGCTTCACAGTAATAAAGCCTCCCTGACACACATGGCAATCATCCACTAGATGGCGGTGTTCTACAATGTAACACAGGGCCTTAGCTGCTGTGTCTCAGTGGATGTCGCAGCATCTCTTTTAAAAGCAGACTGATGTGACTCAAGCCAGTGACTTCAACATGTTACCCTGCCAGTGGTAACATATCACTATATTAAAGAACAAGGTGAGCATGACTCCTACTGTCCTCACTGGCTTTACTGTATGAAGAGGACCTGATGTTTATCTACCTGATGCAATTATAAGAGCCAAAATGTATTTCAACCCCTTCATTATTTTTCAGATGTTGCCATAGGGAGTTAACAATTTAATAAACTTTTCAAATTGTGTTTTTTTAAAGCCTTTTTAGAAGAAATATTGCCTTTTGCATTATGGAGTAGCCTACATAGGTTTTTTTCTTTGCCTTCACTGCTTCTGCTTTGCCTTCTACCTGCACAGGTTGCGCCCATTTTTATTTCTGCTGTATAACCCCACTTCTGGCAACTGGGCCGTCTTTACGGACTTTGAAGAAACACATTTAGATGTCTTAAACATTAAGTAAAAAGACATTCTGCATAAGGCAAAGCCTTTGCTCCTATGATTTAGACGTTGTTGCATTGAAATTAACCAATGAACACACAAAACTGAATAGAAAATAAGAATTATCAATGCAAGCTTATGTAACGCATGCCGGTTACATCACCTTAAATGGTCACACAATTATCTCCAACCCATTGTTGGAAAAGTCTGAGCCTCTAGTTTCCAATGACGCCAACCATTAGGGGCTGTGGCTAAAAATGAATACCTGATGTTGTGGTCCTCCTGCAGAGTCATACATTTCAGCTGGAATTTTAACTCTCATTTTGTTTGTTTACACAGCCATAAAACAAAAAGCATTTGTGAAAAAAAATTATTTTGAAACATGTTGTAGAAATTTTAAAGCCCCTTTTGAAAGGCGTGAAGGATGAAACACCATGTGACTGTGTTTTGGCCATTTCTATAAGTAGGTAAACCTAGTAACAGGCCCGCCAGGATTAAGGGGTTAAAAGAGCCAATTTGTTTCAGAAAAGATTGATTTCTGCATCGTAATCGGACAAAGTAGCTGTGTGGATTACTGAGCAGGCACAGCAAGGTCAAGAGAGGTGCCTCCTGGAGGAGGGGGTGGGTAACAATTGCATTATATAGACTTAGCTTGGCCACTGGTTTTTCTTGAAAAGGGAAGAACTTGGGAGGGATAATCGCGAATAAAGTGTAATACAACTGATGATCCTGATAAAGCAATAGCATAATATCATAGGTAAAAGCTCAAATAGTCAACAAGAAATGCTTGCAAACATCTAAACAACAGGTAAATAACCAAAAACTAAGACTCATAAATTGGTCAGCAAAGGGCCGCTCAGCGAAGCAGTTTTTAGCACTGTAACCAAGCATATTTGTGCAGTTTGTTTGTTTCTCCCTGTATTGGTCTTATCTGTGTACTCCAGCCTCCTCCAAGGTCTAAAAAAAACATTGAATTGGTAAACTGTATGTCTGTGGGATGGACTAGCCACTTGTCTAATGTGTAGCTGGTTAGAATTAGGAAATGCTTAACTTAAGGGGAGTGGTGGCCTAGATGTTAGGGCATAGAGCTTGGAATCCTGAGGTTCTGATTTCGAGGCCCTACCCCCATAGACTGCCACTCTGGGTCTCTGAGCAAGGCCTTTAACCCCAAACTGCTCCCCGGGTGCCGCACAATGGCAGCCCACTGATCCCCAAAAGGGGATGGGTTAAATGCAGAGAGTTAATTTCTCCATTGTGAGGTCAATAAAGTTCAATTTCAAATTTCTTATTTTTACCAGAAGGAACGTGGAAACCTCTGCATGCCTTCTGAGCCTCTGTGCTTCCATATATCAGCACCAAGGTTCAAAAGCTTGGTAGATGTGAGCTCTTGTTTTTTACTGCTTTTTTGTCTTTTGTTTGTCTTAAATCTAAAAAAATATATAACAGTAGCCATTTCTCAGCTCTATTACAGAGCTACTAGGACCTGACTATGCTTGAGCTACGTCTCACCTGACTTCAACCAACTGTTGATGGACAGATCACTACGTGCTTGATATTGTAACAAGAAGTCAGACTTTATATATTTACTTTTTTCAGTTATATTATTTACAAAAATGTAGTTGTCACTATGCCGTTCAGTCCTTTAATGGTATGTTTGTTTTTCCAACATTATAGAAATTATGACAAAGTTTGGAGCAGATCTGCGATTAAAAATAACTAAATTCAGTCTCCAGATGTTTAAAAGTTAGGCAGAAATGTAACCGGACAGACTTGCAGCCATCAGTGAAGTGGAGTAAAAGGTAGATCTAAAAAAAATAATATAAATAAAATGTGTGTTTAATAAAGGTGCAGACCATACCACAAACCAGAAAAATCTTCCTCATCTCAATTACAGTACCAGCTATTCAAAATGGCCTTTCCCAGTCAAACACCAGCCGAATGGCAGCAAAATCGCCTCCAACTTCCAGCCACTGGTCGTCTCATGGGCGTGCATATTTTTTTTACTCTGACTCCACCCTTTCACTGAATTATAGGGTCTAACCAGGGGACAATACTTCTCTTTACATCTTAATGTCCTCAAATCATGATAGAAAGAAGTGTAGGGGACTAGCCAATGACCAGCCAAGGACCCATCAAGGAAAGTGGGGAAATGTTGAATGGCTACTACTGCATCTGCCTATTGAAACCACAAACAAGTGTTTTAGGTTGCAGCACATAAATGCAAATATCCATGGGGTATGCTTATTTTGAGAAGCCTCTAAATCAGTGGCTCTGTTATCAATAAACATTAGATTTACTGTGACATTTCCTGAATGTCACCTAGGGAAATCAAATGGTTTATGCAGTTCATTGTTACTTTGGATGTTTCTATGCAACCTGCTTCCAACTCCTGCACTGTAGATCTCACAGGAGCCAAAAGCTTAAATACACAGCTGTTTATCAAAGCCCCAAACTGGATCCCCTGTTTACTCTCACGCTTTATAATGAGTTCTGCTGTCCTTCTTTCTCTAAAACCAAAATATGCTCCCTTAGTTAGAAAATGACGTTGCCCTAATTATTAAAGCAGGACTTAATGTTTATCTACGCTCTGACTCCAACCAGCCTCAGAGTTAATTTAGCATGTTTGTGTTTTTAGTGGTGAATTGGCACTTCAGAGCCTCTAGAGCTCTATCAGTGGACAAACAACACTTGAAAAGAACCAGGTGAAAACAACTCAACACCCATTAATGGGTCCTCTCGTTAAAGAACACAGAGATAAAGCCAGTGGAGGAGCCATCTGGTTCCAAAAGGATGCAGAGACGGGTCCTGGGAATGTTGTTTGGTGAGAAAGCAAAAGAGGAGTGAGCTGGGAGAATGATCCCATGCAGCACTGGGTATTTTTTTTTATTATAGATTGTTCCATCAGTATTGTTCATCTGTCCAGTCTATGATCTGACCAGCTGTCTTTAGTATGAGTCCAAGATAAGCACCGTCCCCCTACCCACCTGTCCTTGTTGCTAAGTCACTGCTAAAAGACTTCATTATGGGATGGCAGACTGTGCCATCAAAAAACTCTGCGGCTAAGAAATAGAGCCTGGCGAATCTGTCGGACATCAGCTGCCCTCAAAAACCCTCCAACCCTATCTTTCCAGATCCAGACCAGGAGCATTCACGCCTGGGTGCCTGGCCCATCGATGTTGAAGGTAATTGTGAGTGAACCTGTATGCTGAAGCCTCTTGTGTGTGTTGGTCTGTATCTCAGAGTTTGTGGCCTTTTCTTTGCCCCTTCTCAGTGGATTACCTTTGTAAGATGGCCTTATCTGTAAACCTGCGCGTAGCGTCTGAGGTGATGTGAGAGGTTTCACTTCAGTTCACTTTCAGATGGAGGGATTAGTGAAAAAGAAGGGCAGACTTTGGGCTTGAAAAAGATCTGAAGTCTTGAAGTTTATAGGTTATAGTTTGAGGATGATTTTCTACTGATATCCTTTTCAAACAGATGTATTATCATAAAATTAAATAGTTCAATAGTAGAATACACTAAATCAAAGATGTCAGGATCCAGACCTTGAGGGCTTCTGTTCTTAACTAATTTGGGGTCCAGTGAGTCTTTTGATTTGCTTTTGCATATTTGTTTTTCTCTTACTTTTATTGTGAGCTGTGATTACTCTGTCTTGTATGTTTTTTAGTGTTATCTTTCATTTTGGGGGTTTTTTGTAGTTACTTTACTTTGTTTACTTTAGGAATGATCCTTCTAGAATGTCATTGCCATAACTAATAACACTAATATTACTTGTGCTATTTAGGTCTTGCAATACTAGTTGATTTATGTTCACGTTCTTTTTTTAGTTTAATATTTACCTATATAGTTTATTCTTTAGTCTCTTTTCTTTTATTTAAATTATGCTTCTTTTTTTATTGGTTCCATTTCTACATTTTTTAAAATACTTTTTAATACAGTTTTGCCTCCATCTTCTTCTCTAGATTTGGGTCTATTGAAGCTCCGTGGTTTCTGACAGAATTAATATTATTGTGAAAATATTTCACGCTAAGCTAATGCTGGCCTTTAATGGTTTTATGTATGAGGGAATTCTGTACAATTCTATTTGCAGTCAAATAACATGGTATCTAAAGGGAACTAAAAAAAAAAACAAATCTAGAAATAAAACTTCTTGATCAAAAACAGATTGTTTAGAATCACTGAGTTGTTTTTTTTCTCTTCATTTTTATGTTAATTAGTTATTTAAAAAGGGCTGCTCAGTTTCGCAGTGGGTAGCACTGCTGCCTTGCAGCAAGAAGGTCAAACAAGAAGGGTTAAATTACCGTCCCGGGATCTTTCTGTGTGCAGTTTGCATATTCTTCCTGTGCATGCGTGCATCTCCGGGTACTCCGGCTTCCTCCCACAGTCCAACAACATCACTGTTAGCTAAATTGGCTTTGGTAAATTCTCCTTAGGTGTTAGCGTGTGTGTGAATGGTTGTTTGTCCTATTTATCTGGACTGGCTACCTGTCCAGGGTGTACCCTGCCGCTCACCCGTAGACAGCTGGAGCATCAGCACCCCTCGCAACCCCGCTTGTAATAAGTGCGATTAAATGGATGGATTTATTAAAAAAATGCCTCCAGGAATGTAGAGAATGTCTATAAAATGCAGTTTGAGAATTACTTTATCATGCAGTTCAAAAAAAGAAATTTGAAAAAATAAAATAAGAGCAAAAATATGAAAACAAATTCTATGGAAGTCATTTTTAAAAGATGAAATAAAAAAATATATGACAAAAAAATTTTTTTATTACATTTTTTAAAACATTTCATATCTGGATTAAATTTTTTCTTAAATTTTAATTTACAAAGTGTGTTATCTGCTTGCATCAATAGTGGGGCATAATTCACTTCATATCAGTTTGGCCGAACAGGCTAATGTACCAGGAACATTTCCAAAAGATAAATATCTATGATTTACAGATAACTTGTAAAACGCTTAAGATTCAGTATTGCTGTAATGAAAACCATTTATCCTGTTTAATATGCATAAGGAATAATATGTCTTAAAAAAGCATGGTTCTGTCATATCTCAACAGCTGGCAAAGAGCCAACATGGAGAAATGCATGAAAGGCGTACACAAAAAAACAACACATCCCAAACTGTATGGGTGAAAAATGTCAGAGTGTACAGAAGAGACAGGAAGGAAGGCCATGTGGCTGATTGGTCTTTTTCTCCCTTCAACCTCCACTGTAACGGCAATTTAGAGGTCAAGACAGAGAGGAGAGCTCTGAGGCAAATCAGGTGTGAGACCAGCTGCAGTTAGCACCACGAAATTGGTTGCCCCGCTCCAACAAATCGAGAAAGAATCATTGGGATGGAAGAGTAACGTCAACCCCCCGTCAGATAACTCATCAGAAATAAGCAGCCTGTGTGAGAAGAGCTCTGAGAGTTTCGGCAGACAGTATTTGACAGCACTCTGAAAAAAAAGAAATCCATAACATCCATTTAGCATTATGTTTTTTCTAAGTGTTCCGAATGAGAAACACACTTGTCTCTTTCTATAAAGAAAATAAATCCCTTAACTCTTCTCACAGGCTGTGGAAATCCTATCCTTTAAAAAGGAATCTTCTTTCTTCCAGACCAGTTCAGGGTTGTTGGTATAGAGATTAGGAAATGATCCTACAAATTACAGAGATCATGATTGAAGATATGCTAAATGACTGCTTGCTAACGAGAATAGGACTGCTCCTGTTAATGATGATTCAGTGTTTGATCCACAGAAATGTAGCTTGTGAAAGAGGACAAGTAGGAGCAAGCTACAGATGAAAGTGTATAAAAAGTGTATTTAGAAAGGCAAAGCATTTTTTCCAAGCTGATAGGCTAAAAAAAGATATGAGGAAAATAATCTCTCTGTCCTGAAAAATTTTAAACAATTTCAGTTAACAATTTAAAATCAACTTTTTGAACTTCCTTAATCAAATCATGCCCAAAATGCTATTTGGTATCTGGATGACTCAAGCATGTTTGAGTAATTCTCATAAATTCCGTTTTATAAGGAGAAGCCTCCCTGTTTTTGAAAACCAAGTAGCCATAACCATCAAAGCTTTATAGTGTTAACCCCCTGCAGGAAGCACCAACCTTAATTGCACTTAAATGCCCACTTTCTCTGACTAGTAATGATAAAGCAGCTCTTTAGGAGTGAATCTGCACATTGACAGCAACTGTTGTTTTCTTAGCTAATGTCTAAGTACATAAAGTGCCTGTTTTTACTGCTGAAATCTTCTTAAAGAAGAGTCAAAATTTGCAGAGATGGGGTGATGATGAAATGGGCACACAGGGTGAGGCATCACAGTGCAGGCAAGGGTCTTTCTTCTGGTTTAGATCCATAATACCAAAGGCAATATTTCATAATAGATATGCCTATAGCTGACACTATATCCAACCTCTGAAGCCAATCCCTCCCACCATGGATTACAGTGTCCAAGTTACAGGCCTTTTACTTAAAGCTCTTTTTTTTTTTTTTTTTACTTACGTCATAACCAGGGTCTCATCTCCTGGTTCACTGAGAAGTCCGTCGACAAACACAGACGTGCTGGTAAAGTTGTGAATGTTCCATGTTCTCCCTTCATCAATGCTAAACCTAAGGAAAGAAAAGGAGTATTTAAAGTCATTGGTACTTGGATGTATGTTAAGCTCTATTTACATTTAATCCATGCTTCAATAACAATAAGACCTGATGGATGTGATTTAAGTCCCCTGTCACACCTTTAGCCAGCGTATGTCTGATAGCCCAGAATCTCCTAAAACACTGGCACACACTGAACCTTCTAGGAATTTTTTAAAAATGTTTTGGGTATAAATAGAGTATTCATAATGAGTTCAGAGCGTATGTCCAATGACAGCCTAACTTATGCATGACGAACGGCAGCGTAATGCCCATGAAATGATTGATAAGCCAGTGTCCTGACGGGGGCAGTGAATCGCCCGTAGGTGCCCTGTCTGCATAAAAAGATGTCTTTGATCACAGTATTAACCTAGGTGCTGTTTACCACCTGCCAAAAAAAAGAATAAATAAAAACAAAAAAAGTAAAAGAAAGAAAGAGGGTTTGCAGATTCAGCATCATGTATGCTAGGAAGTTTGTTGGTCGTGGGAGTCGATGCAGGGAGGATCCATCACACTCGCCTTTTCTCTCACCCTATAATGGGGTTGAAGCCTGGAGGAGAACTGACGCTTGCCTCCTGGGAACCAATTTCATACCAAAACGCTGCCAATACCACACTATACAGTAGCTATATGTTGGAAACACGTTCTGCGGTTATCTGGAACACGTCAGATTCGTTGATACACATTGCAAATGAGTTATGCACAAGTTACTCATAGGTTTTAGATAAGCTAGACGCCACCACTCATGAGTAACTTACACTTAACGTATGTCGACAATCAGATAACTTACCTGTAACTTACGCCCCATGTATGTTATATGCTGGCATACGTCAGGAAATTTTGAGCATGTTCAAAATTTGTTAACATAATCGCCAAATGTCGACATGTGACAGCGTGCTTCAGCGTATTTCAGCGTTCTCATAATTTATACAAAAAGTACCCATAACTTATCCAACATATGCCAGCATTTTTGGCAGATCTTTCATACATCAGGCATACGCTGTCTAAATTGGTCTGACAGGGGCATAACCCTTTAAAACACTTCCACCCAAAAAGGAGTTACAAATTATGGGAATAGATATCTGTTCCCAAGGTAAGAAGGAAATCCTTTTCTGCACTGGAACAACTGATAGAAGAAATTTCAGGAAAAGAAGCAACAAAACAACAAACAAACAAAAAAGACCTAGAGTAACTTAGCTCTAAAAACTTAAAACATGAAATACAACTTTTATATGCCGGCATATATCCACCCAACTCCCTAGATGGAACCCAAGTCTCACATCTTAATCTCCTTGGATCAGTGAACCATTAATGTTTCATTTCTGCTCTTATAATAGTGAGGGGGCCAAGCAAAGACCTACCAGACAGGTACAGGTCAAATGTGCAAAGTATGCACATTTCATCAAGCAAATCAAAAGCCTTGGGCTGTTATTAAAAATTTACTAAACCTGTTATCTTATGCATCTAAAAAGGTTTCATGTGGTATTCCTTTGTATTCAGGTGGTTTTACAAGTTTATTATAATACAGTCCTCTGTAATGAGGAGGACTACACACTTTACAAAGAGCCTTTGATGTTCTTCGTGACCTACACTAGCTTTAGAGCAAGCGTGGTGATGAATTTTCTTCAAAGGCCAAACGAATAACTGCTTGTTTCCAAGAGCAAGAGAGCTAAAGGATACCAATAATTACGGAAATATACTTTATCCTAAACTCCAAATATGACTTTCATTAACTGCTGAACATTGTAATTAAACAATTATATTTACTTTTTCATACTCATAGTATATTAAGTGTTTTGCTGCACGTTGTATAATTCTGGAGAAAAGCAGTCCATTCTTTACAGAGTTTACCTTTACTTATCCTTTGACTTTAGCCAATAATGATACATCTCTACAAAACATTAGAAAGATGGATAATAACTGTATTCCTAATAACACCCTCTGGAAATTTTGGTTATAGTGAGAATTTATACCCAATAGGGTATAAATGCTCACTAATAGGGTATAAATGCTTATTAATATGCAACGGTATAAATTCTAGCAACTGGATAAACACCCTATAATTGTTTTCCAATCATTTTTTTACTTGATATCAATAGTGTGCACTCTAATATAGTAATTGTGAGTCAGTTGTAAAGGTAACTGGCCACACCAAAAATGCTGGAAAAAGCTTATAATAAATCAGCTGCTGCTCTTTATCCCTTGTGAAGGTCTAGCTTTACATATGAAACCCTAATAATGGCGGAAAATAGCAGATAGCGGATATAATAGCAGAAATCCCAAGTCTCCCGGAAGTTCTGGGAGTAGGTTGCTTGTGAAACCTGTGCGTATCTGTCCGAAGCGATGCGCTGTCCAACGAGCGTTCCAGGCGACTGGTTGTCGGAGAGCATGCTGATTGGTTTAGTCAGAAAAATAAGCCAATATGTTTTGGTTGACTCACTGACAGTCACCTGGGTATCACTCAAAGCTGTGCATCCTGTGAAATGGCAGAGGTCGAATCCTCAAGTAAAATATTTAAATATAAGACTAATTTTCAGCAGAATATACTAAAGTACAGGTGCTGGTCATAAAATTAGAATATCATGAAAAAGTAGATTGATTTCAGTAATTCCATTTAAAAAGTGAAACTTGTATATTATATTCATACATTACATACAAACTCATATATTTCAGATGTTTATTTTGTTTAATTTTGATGATTACAAATGACAACAAATGAAAATCTCAAATTCATCATATCAGAAAATTAGAATATTGTGAAAAGGTTCAAAATTGATGGCCCCTGGTGCCACACTCTAATCAGCTAATTAACTCAAACCACCTGCAAAAGCCTTTAAATGGTCTTTCAGTCTAGTTCTATAGGCTACACAATCATGGGGAAGACTGCTGACTTGACAGTTGTCCAAAAGACGACCATCGACACCTTGCACAAGGAGGGCAAGACACAAAAGGTCATCGCTAAAGAGGCTGGCTGTTCACAGAGCTCAGTGTCCAAGCACATTAATAGAGAGGCGAAGGGAAGGAAAAGATGTGGTCGAAAAAAGTGTACAAGCAAGAGAGATAACCGCACCCTGGAGAGGATTGTGAAACAAAACCCCTTCAAAAATGTGGGGGAGATTCACAAAGAGTGGACTGCAGCTGGAGTGAGTGCTTCAAGAACCACCACACACAGACGTATGAAAGACATGGGTTTCTGCTGTCGCATTCCTTGTGTCAAGCCACTCTTGAACCACAGACAGCGTCAGAAGCGTCTTGCCTGGGCTAAAGAGAAACAGGACTGGACTGCTGGTGAGTGGTCCAAAGTCATGTTCTCTGATGAAAGTAAATTTTGCATTTCCTTTGGAAATCAAGGTCCCAGAGTCTGGAGGAAAAGAAGAGAGGCACTTCATCCACGTTGCTTGAAGTCCAGTGTAAAGTTTCCACAGTCAGTGATGGTTTGGGGTGCCATGTCATCTGCTGGTGTTGGTCCATTGTGTTTTCTGAGGTCCAGGGTCAACGCAGCCACATACCAGGAAGTTTTAGAGCACTTCATGCTTCCTGCAGCTGACCAACTTTTTGGAGATGCAGATTTCATTTTCCAACAGGACTTGGCACCTGCACACAGTGCCAAAGCTACCAGTACCTGGTTGAAGGACCATGGTATCCCTGTTCTTAATTGGCCAGCAAACTCTCCTGACCTTAACCCCATAGAAAATCTATGGGGTATTGTGAAGAAGAAGATGCAATACACCAGACCCAACAATTCAGAAGAGCTAAAAGCCACTATTAGAGCAACCTGGGCTATCATAACACCTGAGCAGTGCCACAGACTGATCGACTCCACGCCACGCCGCATTGCTGCAGTAACACAGGCCAAAGGAGGCCCAACTAAATACTGAGTGCTGTACATGCTCATACTTTTCATGTTCATACTTTTCAGTTGGCCAACATTTCTATAAATCCTTTGTTTTTATTGGTCTTCAGTAATATTCTAATTTTCTGATATGATGAATTTGAGATTTTCATTTGTTGTCATTTGTAATCATCAAAATTAAACAAAATAAACATCTGAAATATATGAGTTTGTATGTAATGTATGAATATAATATACAAGTTTCACTTTTTAAATGGAATTACTGAAATCAATCTACTTTTTCATGATATTCTAATTTTATGACCAGCACCTGTATAGCTACCTTAAACTTTTCAAACTGGGCCCCCCTTTGTCATGGTGTCTGTGGCAATCTTTAGTTAAACTGTCAGAGGGAACTTTTGTGAGTTCATGTATCAGATCTGTAATGTCACGCAGTAATACCATTGGTTGCATGCATTGCCTTTGGGAAATATAGTTTCAAGGTATAAAAATTTTATTCTACTGTATTGCTGATGAGATTTATTTATCTTTTAGATTAGCAATAGACTAATTTCACATTCTACAGGTGCTGGTCATAAAATTAGAATATCATGAAAAAGTAGATTGATTTCAGTAATTCCATTTAAAAAGTGAAACTTGTATATTATATTCATACATTACATACAAACTCATATATTTCAGATGTTTATTTTGTTTAATTTTGATGATTACAAATGACAACAAATGAAAATCTCAAATTCATCATATCAGAAAATTAGAATATTGTGAAAAGGTTCAAAATTGATGGCCCCTGGTGCCACACTCTAATCAGCTAATTAACTCAAACCACCTGCAAAAGCCTTTAAATGGTCTTTCAGTCTAGTTCTATAGGCTACACAATCATGGGGAAGACTGCTGACTTGACAGTTGTCCAAAAGACGACCATCGACACCTTGCACAAGGAGGGCAAGACACAAAAGGTCATCGCTAAAGAGGCTGGCTGTTCACAGAGCTCAGTGTCCAAGCACATTAATAGAGAGGCGAAGGGAAGGAAAAGATGTGGTCGAAAAAAGTGTACAAGCAAGAGAGATAACCGCACCCTGGAGAGGATTGTGAAACAAAACCCATTCAAAAATGTGGGGGA